TCGCGCTCCACCGCCCGCCCGGACCGGCGCAACGCGGCGAGCGTCCGGTCGAGCCGAGCGGCGCAGCCCGCCCCCTCCCTCTCACCCCGCTCTAAACATAAATAAAGGCGAGGGCGCCATCCGTGCTGATCGCTCCAGCCCCGCGCCAGGTGCAGCTCGTGCGCGGCGGAAGGCGCAGCCAACGAGGCGGCCGCGTCGCGCTTCCAACGGGAAGCGGAGAACAGCCCCAGTTCATGGGGAAGACGGGACAAGATGGAATTTACAATGCACACATGGAGAACTGGGATTTAAGAACAACTGTAATAAGAGAATCCAACAGATCCCATGTCAGTAATCCATGGTTACACTTTTTTTTTTTTACATAAGGGATATTCATACTAATTGTCTCTTATGAGAACATGTAACTACAAAACCAATCTACCACTCAAGCATGTTGGCTTCCTCTTCATGCATTTTATTCTGTCTTTATATTCCTGTTCCAGCAAGAACAAAGAAAACTTTACTCCCCAACCATTAAGAACCAAACCCAGTGCAGTCACCATCCATGACTTTTCCCTTTTTTTTTTTTTCTCCTTATCTAGACTTGTCCAAAGAGAAGGAGCTTGTACTTCTGTCAGCTGAAAAAAAGGCAGGGCAAGAGGGGACAGAAACAAGCAGTTCACAGTGCAAAACGATCACCTTTCATATAGAATCCACAGATTCACAGATCAGTCTGCAAATGCTGCAACTCACAGCCCATGTTTGCATTAAACCTGTGTGTGAAGCAAGAGCAGCATAAACAGACACAGATGGTTTTGTTCTCTCTGAAAGCATCCATAAATGTAGTATCATCACAGTTGCAGAACTTCCTTTGTTTCATTTTGAAATAGAATTCTTTCGTGCTTGAAATTTTACATTAATCATAACTCAGTTAAAACCAATCCTTTATTTTTCCTGCCAAGTTGAGAGCAGTAGGAAAGAATACACAAACTGATCCATAGGGATAAGAAAAAAAAGTAACAAAATATTTTTGACGTTCTTTAGAAAACGTATGATCTATAAAATCTCATGATCCAGAAGGCCTGCCCTAGTACACTGCTTCAAGGGACAAAGCAACACATATCAGTGTCTTTTAGGTCCTTGATATCCTTAGGAGACCACGGATTCGTCTAACAAGAGCTTGAATAAAGGTGTATCGCGACCGAACCTTAGAATACAACCCTTCGATGTCCAGAAGCTTCTTCTGCAGAGATTCACCAAAGCTGTTTGTGGCTTCGATCTGAAGCTGAGAAACAGAGATGTGTTGCAGTCATCAGTACAAAAATCTCTTTCTGTAATGTCAGCATATCCGTCATCAACTACCTGTCAACCCTTTCATTATGATTTATTCTCTAAACCACTTTCAAAAGCATGTTTTTTCTGACTCCCCTAATAAGTACTACTTGCATTCCTCCCTTATATTTTTCTCTCTAAATTATATAACGGATAGGCTTTCTGTGGAAGTTTTTGGGAGACTCGGGGCAATTACAGATTATCCAAATATTACCATCTTGCAACCTCTCCAAGTTTTAGGAATGAAATTCTTGGTTTTGGAATGAAACAGTCTTATATAATTCTCAGCTTCTTCAGTTATAGTCATACAAACACTTCTTCCAATTAAAGTTTTCCTAGTCCTTTAAACTAGTCCTTTAAAATTTTCCTAAGTCCTTTAACATGGACCCTAGTTCAGGGTCCATGTGCCTAGACAAGATTTTTTTCATTAATACGTATGTAAGCAATCTCTGAAAAAATTACTTACATTCTAGGTATTTTAGCAAGATGTTGCTATATATTTTACTTTTGAACAAATGAAATAAGAGAGAGATGCCTCATCACAAAAAACATGTACAACTGTTCTTACAGTTCTAGATCTTATAAAGGTACTTGAGACTGCACAGGTTTTTGAGCACAGGCTTTTTCTGCACAAACAGCAGTAGAAATGTCAGTGGGATTTATTAACAAAAATGTTTTTTTTCTGCCACCTCTGCATCACATTTACACAAACTATTAAATTGCTGTGTAAGCCAAAATCACTTCTTTGCCTGGAGAAGAGAAGGCTCCGGGCTGATCTTATAGCAATCTTCCAGTACTTAAAGGGGGCCTACAGGAAAGCTGGAGAGGGACTTTTTACAAGGGCATGTAGTGACAGGACAGGGAGCAATGGCTTTAAACTGAAAGAGGGCAGATTTAGATTAGATATAAGGAAGACATTTTTCACTCAGAGAGTGATGAGGCACTGGAACAGGTTGCCCAGAGGAGTTGTAGATGCCCCATCCCTGGAAGTGTTCAAGGCCAGGTTGGATGAGGCTTTGGGCAACCTAGTGTAGTGGAGGGTTTCCCTGCCCATGGCAGGGGGGTTGGAACTAGATGATCTTTGAGGTCCTTTCCAACTCTAACCATTCTATGATTCACATTTTATAGTCTCCTCAGTTTCTGTTAACCCTTTTCGATCTCATTTATCTACAGCCTTGCTGCAGCTGACCTGTAGTAAAAAACTGCAGGATCACAGAAAATTTGGAATCCTGCCCTCATATTGCAAGTCTTTCAAGGGTAACTGATGTTTTCAGAAAGCTATTATTAAAAAAATACATACCGTTTGACTGGTTTACAAAGAGAAAAAGAATGATTAATATTTTCTAAGTCTAGCTCATTTTTCATTTAACTTTTTATATTAGGACTTGAAAATATGTGTGTGGCAGCACAACTGCTACCTGCTTCACAATACTTTCCAAAAATAATTTGCAACGTTTCATTAATCGTAAATGAAGTTATGTCCTGTGGGTGTTACCACAGATTAGAGGTGAGAAAACTACAGTCAGACTGCTCTCAATAGCTGTATGGTAATCAAGCACATTCTGTACTTTTCTGCACTGTCACATCTCACCTGTTCTATATCATGCTGGCTCACTCGATTCAGTCTGCTACCGAAATCCAAGTTAGGCTCTGAACCAAAGGAATCTAGTGATGGAAAATGAGACGTTAAAATTACGTTAGGTGCTCCACACTATCTTCTCCATATCAAGTTATAAAATGAGTGTAAAATGCAGTGTTCCAAATTGGTCAGTAAACTTGTGCGTTATAAATGGCACTAATTTTTCTACTTAAATGGTTTAGAGAAAATATGCTAAGAGCCATAAATAATTTTGATCACACAACATGGCACTTTGAGCAAAAATCTTCTCTGCAGATCACTTCTCCCTTTCTGACTTCCTACCATTCCTAATTTTTAGTTTTTCTAAAAACCAAAATTCAACAAACTTAAAATGTTCTGGTGAATCAATGGTGCCTAAAATTCTAAAAATACTGTTAAACCCACCAATATTAATTTTAGTTCTTAATTTACATTATTTCAATTACATTGAATTCTTTTCCTATAAATTGTTTTGAATCACTGATCTGATTATATTATTTGAACTTCACTTGGTTTGAACAACAGAAATAATATAGTTAATTTTACTTTCCTTTGGAGATTATGTGTAATAGATAAAACCCAAAAGTCTATGGCTCAACAATATTTGTATTGCCAATTCTCCAGCAGAAAATCTAAAGGTATGCTAAATCCAAACAAAATCTCTTATTAACTATAAACAGCAAAATATTAATAGTAGCAAATCAGTTTTAAAGTTAACCATCAGAAGTTATTCAAAGGCACTTTGACGTTTGAGAAATTTTACCTTGCAGCCTTCCTTTCTTAAATGACATTCTGGAGGACAGCAGCGGATCTTGGGAGTCAGCGGGTGTGCAATGCAGTAGATAGTGTTCCAGATGACGCCAAAGAATGAAGAGACATGTTTCTACAATATCTGTAGACACATCTCAGTGAAGGAGTCTAATTCTGTTGTCTTTAGATTGTGCATTTACTATATGAGCATATTTACACGCTTTGAAGCGGCTAAAGATGATAGCTCAACCATCTGTCACCTCCTCCAGCAGAAGCGTCTCACCCCCACTGCTATGGCCTGCTAATGGATCGCGTGCACTCTCGTTACCGGCTTCAGCGCAGTGCTGGCTACGGCACTCCAATGACTGCTCCTCACCCTGAGCAGGCTTTAAACCAACACTCTGCACCAGAGCCGAGTGTGAGTGCCAACGGGATTTGTAATGGTAGCTCAGTTGCAGAGACCGAATCAAAGCTGAGGTCATAAAGCTGGGGATGGCGGTAACATCTTATCTTAAGTTACAACAGTTAAGTCTGCAAGAGCACGTCATCTTTCCCAAAGTAGGTTTCAGAGAAACATTCTCATGCACTGCAGACAGTTATTTCGTGCGTGACCAGTTATTTCCATAGAACTACTGGTGTTTATGAGAATAGGTTTATGCAAGGTTGACTATAAGACTAGAAACTCCAGTTACTCTGATAGGCACCTCAAAATTATTTTTCAAAATATTTCTTCCACCACACTTGTACATATATAAATGTTTAGTGGGTCTGGATACTGAATTGAAGAGCTGGGCTGTAATAACTCCTCCATTAACATGTTGCAGAAAGTTCTTGAAGGATCTCCATGATGGGAATTACTAACTTGAAAATAATTACATCTGACAATAGCAGAACAATACACTCTTACTAATTTAAATTTTCAGTATTTCAGATTTCCTTTTTGCAAAAAGTGTTTGAAGTGGCCAGAAATCTAGGCAAAAAGAACCTGTTTCTATTTCTCTACTTTTCTGGAGCATCACCTTGGAGGTCATTTCCATTTTAGAAGGATACAAGAACAAAGAGAAAGCAGCTTGGCTCGGTTGTTTATTAGCTTCACCAGGCGTCGCCTTGCCAAAAGGTATTTTTGGGAAGTGGAGATTTTGTCAACCCCAGCTGGCATAACCGACTGACATAGCTGTGACAAGAAGAGAAAAAACAAGAAGATTGTAGCAAATCACAGAGCATCAAAAGAAATAAGCAAATAAAATTACTTCTCAGTATCTAGAACTTCCTTGTCAGCTACTATTTCTTCAAAACTGTGCTGTCTATTTTGAATTTGCATAACCCTGCTGACCAAAAAAAAAAGGAGAAATTAAACGTATTCCCAGGCAACTATAATGGAAATCACAACTTTTACAAAGTTAAGCCAAATATTTTCCTGAAAGTTTTAGATCACTCATTCTATGGACTCCATCAACAGTAGAAAGGAAAATGCCCAAGAGCTGGAAATATTTACTTACCTAAGATGTTTTGGAGTCTCTGCTATGTCTAAGTTACAAGCAATAGGGACTACAGAGTCAGAAGAAGTATTACCTCTTTTATTTCATCTGGTGGGAGTTGCTCCACATTTTGCAGTTTGTTAACACTCTGACGATGGCTATCATAGTAACTGAAGAAATCACTAGTGCTCTGTTTCAGGAGGTAGACAATAATGCCCAAGCCAGGCAAGTGCCAGTATGGGACCACCGGTGCTTGTGTGTCTAGAAAAGATGATGAACAAGTTACAATGAATTAAAAAAAAAAACCAAAAAAAAACAACCAACCAAAACTGAAAAAAGAACAAGAAATCAATAAGGTATGCAGTCTGTCAATAAAGTAGTGAAAGACATGAAAGAACTGGCAAGTTTATATCTTATATTTCTGTGTCAGAAGTAATCCAAATGAAAATCTAGGCAAAAAGTTCTGTGGCTGCAGTATTAGAAGGCAGTCAGTGTAGTACAGTACTGAGTGTAACATGTGAAACGGAACTAGAATAGAAGACTTACTATTTAAACATTTTAACCACTCAGCTGCATAATAGTACACTGTAAACTCCTGCCATGTGGTGTAACGAAGAGTTCCAGTCACCATCAAAACACATCTTGTGACTTAGAAATGAGGTCCTAGTTTCACATAATGTAATCCAGCACAGATGCTGGAAAAAAAAAAATTTCTCACCTTCCCCTGTCTTGTGCTATTTTTTTTATATACACTTTTTTTTTTTACTGATATGTGTGTTTCTGAGCTGCCATGGCAAATGAATTAAAAAGGATTTTTTGGTCACGTTTGTTTTAACTTGGATTAGTTTCCTGATTTGGCTTAGTGCAAGGCTGCACAAGCATGTGTTCCAGAATTAGAAAACAGGCAACTACAGAACTGGCATAAAGTGTTTGTGAAATTACAGCCTCTGGTTCATTATTTTCTACTAGCCCAAATGTCACACCATTCAGTCTCATAAAACAGCAAGCCAAAAATCTCACCCTGACGAGGCCCATCTCGGTTGGTTGATTCTGACAGGCTAGGAGTAAACAGACAAACAGCGTGCTGAAAACTGGGGGCGCTTTGCAACATAAGTGACTCACAGTATTCCATCACATTTGCACAGATCTGCCAAAAAAAAAATGACAGCATGTCAGTTGCAATAGCTACAGGCTTTGAAGCATTAAATTTTAAACAGATAAATGTCAATAAAAACCACATTTTGCTCCCTCTCTTCTCACCAGAATGTGATGATTCTCTTTTTCTGATCAGTTACAGCCTCTCTTCTATTTCAATTCTAGGATTTGCAACCTTGCCTTTTTCCCAAACCTGCTAGTTAAAATGTCTCCTCAATTTTAAGTCCCTTTTGTCTCTAACTTAGTGTTAGCCATTGCCTTAATTTTCAAAATTTCTGATCGGTTTAAGGCTTCAAAGATCAGTGTATACCCAGAACAATAATGGTTGCTGATGCAAATTTAAGTAAACAGATTTTCAAGGTTTACTTTAGAAAGAAATAAAACGTGGGATTGTCCTGGTTTTGACTGGGACAGAGTTAAGGTTTTCTTTTTAGCAGCCAGAAGAGCTCTGTGTTTTGGATTTACTATGGGATTTGCTGTAAGAACAACATGGATAGTGCACTGATGTTTATAGTTGGTGCTGAGACATCAAGGACCTTTCAACTTCCTGTTTTTTTTGCCACTGTGCAGGAGCACAACAGGCTGGTGGGGAGCACAGCTGGGACAAAGGGCCCACAACTCCCATTGTGATTTGAATTTAGACTTAGGATTGAGGGCCAAATCGGCCAATAGAGTATTCCATATTATGCAGTGTCATGCCCAGTATATAGACGAGGGTTGACCGGGAAGAAGCTCTTGCTCTTCTGAGGGCTCTGGGACTCTCGGTCTCTTGGAGTGTGTACTCTCTCTCGTTCTCTTCTCGGGCCTCTCGCTCATCTAGGATCATGGTGTCGGGACTTACCCATTTTGGGATCGCTTGCCAAGATGGGAAAAGCATTGGTCAACAGGTGGTGAGCAATTACACTGTGCATCACTCGTTTGTATATATTGTTTTTCATATATATACACATATTATTATTTTATCATTATTACTTTTAATTTCATATTATTGTTATTATTAATAAATTGTTCTTATCTCAACCTACAGGTCTCTCCCCCTTTTCCCCTTTAATTCTCTTCCCCATTCCTCAAGTGTGGGGAGGGTGAGCGAGTGGCTGTGGTGTTTAGTTGCCGGCTGGGTTAAACCCCAACAGAGATCCTATACCAAACTAAAAAACAGTGTAGAGCCTTACCACTTTCATATGAAAGTATGACAATTAAACAAATCTGCACCACAGGTAAAACGTCACAATTTGAGACTGAAGGTTCTAGCAGCTTCTTGTGTCCTTACCTGTTGCATGGCCAATTCAATTTCATCCCTCTTGTTCACTCTGTCTCCCTCTGCATTGTCATCTTGTAGTTTAAACTGACGCAGTCTGTCTGAACCACCAAACCGACTGAGAAGTCCTAAGCACTGGCGCTGCCATAAGAAATGAACATTTTAATTAGTATCTCAACAAACGATGCTTTTCACTTAAATGATACACATCCCTTAAAACACAATAGCAAGAGAGCAATGCAGATAAAACTTTTAGCGTTTTGTAAACAAAATTTAAATTTTTAAACCACAGTGTTTTAACTCACCTTTAATTAATTTAAAAATTAATGGCACCCTAAAACAGTTCCTGGAGAAATGAATGCAATTCAAAAGTGCACAACTTTGTCTTGTGTCTCTACCAGACTATCATACTGACTAGCATCAATCACAGTTTAGGTTTACCCATTTCTACTTAAAACACCTTTACCTATACAGACAAACTAATAAAATCTGGATATGAAGATAATAAGCTCCATAAAAGTAGAGTGCAAAAACCAATTCAATAGTTTCACAAAAAGAAGTAACTATCAGTAAATTTTAGTTTACATGTGGCTGTTAAGATCGCCAAAGTGCGTCAGCCTGTAAGTCAGTTTTATACGAACAGCAAAAAAAGGTATCAAAGATTAAAGATTTTTTTGGGAAAAGTAAAACACTTAAATCCTCTTGTTGCTTTATGAAAATAACATGACAAACTAGAACGAAAAGTTACAGTAACAGATGAGTGATTCCTACAGTTTTGGTCAGAACAGCTCAGTTTTCAAATTAACTAATTTATACTCCTTATAACAACAACAACAACCACCTTTCTTCTTTCCCACGGGAGCTTCTTGCTGACATGATACAGCAGAATACTGAGTACCCCAAGCATTACAGTAATCATTTAGAGCTTGCTACTTTGCTTAAGCCTGGTCACCCTAACCATCACTATCACAGTGTCCAGAGAGAAGACATCCTTCTCTTGCAACCAGAAGTATTTGATAGGACAGCCCTTTTTACAGATAGTTTTCAGTGAAATATTTCTTTATGAAAGTCCTTACTTACATGAACCACAAAGGTTCAAAAACATTGCTGGATGCTGAGCTGCAAAGAGGTCTGCAACGATAGCTTTTGAGCAAGACTTACTCTATCCTGGCTTTCATTCTGGTTTCTAAGTCAGGGTTATTTTTAAAAGGGGAGGAAAGAAATAAAACACTGGCATGTTTGATACTCCGAAATTGTTGAGCTGGAGACATGCTTGTGGCAAAAGAGGTAACAGAGTATTTCTGCATTACTTCACATGCTTTGGTGTTGACCTCAAATTCTTCTTCTCCACATAAGGTGAATCCTAAGCCAGAGAGGGCAACAAAGCCCCTGATGCAACTCCGATGTTGCCAAATGTTATCCTTCGTACTTGGGAGGGGGTGGGGGGAATAAAACCACCAAAACCAAACACCACAAAAACCACTACACTCACACACAAACCACCCCAACCCTCCCCCCCCAAAAAACCCAAACCAGCACATATTCTTCTTAATGGTGGAAAATATCCCTTTCATAACCGCTACTTGTCAGAGTACAAAACCAGGGAAAACTCAACGACATACAAAATTCTAAAAGGAAACGAGTTAAACATACAACTTCATTACCTGAAATCGGCCTATATGTCCTTGTAGCTCCATCTGTGTCCCTTCATTAACATCAACATCCAGCTCACTTAGCACTCCTGATAAAAGATACAGTCATTAAATTAACTGGGGTTTTTTTTTTTGAAGAAAACATTTATGCAGTACATACATTTAAATGCAAACATTGATCAGAAAAATTTCAGCCAAACATACATTTTGCACATTGGTTGACAAAAACATTCAGATATGAATGCAGCTACTAGGAGATGCACGGAAGCATGTAGCTTACCGTTCTGCTAAGTAATTAAAAGGGAGGAGGAAGAAAGGTTAGCATGAAAATTGCAGCTGTTGTGCAAAGCTCAGTATATATACTGTATGCAAAGAAACATTTGGGCTCAACCTACAGCTCTGCACTTCTTTCTGTTGTAGTCAGACATCTCTCCTGAACTAAGCAAGCCATTAAATCAAAATAGAATTCTGGAATGGTAAGCAAGTCTTGTAGCATGCAGAAGAAATCACTATATCCATCACAATAATTATTAATTCTCTGAAGATAAGCCACTCGAGAAATGTCAATGTGCTAATCCACAGTGCTTCTCCTCAAAGCATTTTTTTAAATAAATAAAAATGGAGAAGACATTAACAAAGAATGGGTACGCAAACAATTTTCTGTCTTTACTTCCTCAGTCATAGAATTTGCTGAATTAAAATTCTTTTTGGAGATACCACATGCACTTTGAACACTACTATTTGCAAGTCATCTCAAAGACAAAAAAGTACTTACCGTCAGGTAGCATAATGAAAAGAAAATGAGAAATCAAACGCATATTGATAAGGGCACTATGTCCATTGCAAATCCACCATGCTTACTTTAAGAACAATTAACATTTCTTTATTTTTACCCAGAGCTCTACATGTCAAGAAAATTCTGTATTGTAATAGAAATTCCCTTATACGTCTTACTAATTTGTTAGAGAAAGAAAGCCCGAGATTCATGCAGATGGGGCTAAGAGACTTCAAAACTGCAGTTCCTACCAGGCAAAGCTGCCTTGCTGATTATTCCTGTCAGGGAGGCCAACTCCTGGAGCGATCCAACACTTACGTCTTGACACCTCAGGATTGCCTGGATAGTATCTGAATGGGAAATTAGAAACTGCAAAACCTGTACCACAAGAAGAAAAGGGAAAATATGAATGACTCAAAATTTGGCAGTGAGTAGAGAGGAAGCAATGCTTTTACTTTTGGAGAATTTTCAAGTGATCTCCCATACCAGTGAGGATAGGATTTTTGAAAAAGCTTACTTTCAGAGTAAAAGACACATAATTTCTTTGAATTAGCAGCGACACTCTAGAATCTTTCAGAACTCACTTGTCCTGCTGCTTGCAGGTGCTGTGCCATGCTGGATGTGAGGATCACTTGGCACAGTTGAAGAGCTGGAAGAAGAATCTGGCGATAACGTTCCACTGGAGC